CGCGGGGTCTCCGCGGAGGGGGCCCGGCGCGCGCGCGGCGGCGGTCACGGCCCCGGTGCCCCGGCAGGTCTGCGAGGAGCAGAAGTGCGAGGAGGAGGTCTTCCCGCTGGCCATGAACTACCTGGACCGCTTCCTGTCGCTGGAGCCCGTGAAGAAGAGCCGCCTGCAGCTGCTGGGGGCTACCTGCATGTTCGTGGCCTCCAAGATGAAGGAGACCATCCCCCTGACGGCCGAGAAGCTGTGCATCTACACTGACAACTCCATCCGGCCCGACGAGCTGCTGGTAACCCCGCGACCCCCGCCGCCCACCGACGCCCCAGTAGCCGCGGGACCCCGGGGGTGGGGGAGGTGCAGAGGTGGGGGGCCCCGGCCGGCTGCTGACAGACCCTGGGCCCCGAGGGCGGGCGGCCACACTGCTTGGGGCCCCCGCCTCGAGGAGCCGGCGCGACCCCCGGCGCCCCCCGTCCCCGCCGCCCCCCGTCCCCCGTCCCCGCCGCCCCACCTCGCACTTTCGCTCGGACTCCCACCGCGTCTGCGCCCCGGACGCGGCCGAAAAGTGGGCGGCGCGCGCCCTCTAGCGGCGGCAGCGCGTTTACGACCGGGCGGCGCGTCCCGGGTGTGGGAGGTCTTTTTTGTCTCCAGTTGGGAACAGGCGGCTTAACCGTGAGCAGCGGCGTTTGCCGGCGGCACCTTCTCTTTTTTGACCTGGGATCGCGTGTTGTCCCCCTCTTCCTGGAGCCCGACATCCCCCATCCCTTCTCTCCAGGCCCCTGTTCCCCCGCCCCCGCGGCTGCCCTGCGCGCCTCTTTATGCTCGTCCACCCCGTTTCCACAGCAAATGGAGCTGCTCCTGGTGAACAAGCTGAAATGGAACCTGGCGGCCATGACCCCGCACGATTTCATCGAGCACTTCCTCTCCAAAATGCCGGTGGCAGAGGACAACCAACAGATCATCCGCAAGCACGCGCAGACCTTCGTCGCCCTCTGCGCCACAGGTAGGGCGGCTGGCCTGCTGCCCCGGCCTCCCTGGGGGTCCCCCGGCGGAGCTTCCTGCCCTCTGACTCAGTTTCCCCATCTGATGCTCCCCCGGCCCCGCCTGCCCTGGGAAGCGCTCCTCCGTCTCTGTTCTGCTGAGCAGAGAGCTTGGGCGGTTTGTGCTGGATGGAGGGGTGCTGCCCCCCGGGGGCGGGCGGCCACCATGCAGTGCCTTCGCGATGGGGGTGGTAGGCCGGCCTGCCGTGTTCAGCTGCTGGGGCTTCTGCTCCCCACGCGAGGCAGGGGCCCGGCTGTGGCCACTCTGTGCTGGAAAGGGTTTACCTTGGCCGCCCGGCCTTCCCCCCCCCCACCCCGTCTCCGCCCCCCCCAGTCCTTCCCCGTGTCCTCAAGGAGCCTGAGCTGCGGGGGCCTCCTCCTGGCCTCTCCCAGGCTGGGCCACCTGCCAGGGGCGCCTACAGGGGTGGGGAGGCCGGCCGGCAGGGCCTGCACCACGTGCTCTGGGCGGCCCGCGGCAGCCCTCGTGCGGGGGCGGCCAGCAGAGGAGCCCGGCCACCGGAGGCCCCGCCAGGGGGCACGGGCCACTCGGCTCAGCCGAGCCCTGGGAGGACCTTTGGAGGGGCTTGGGCTTGGGCTACTGTGATTGGCAGCGGGGGGGCCAGCCCACCCTCCCCTAGCACGCCTCTGGCCGGTCCCTGGAGGCCCCTCCCTGGCACTGGCCTGGCCCAAGCCCCCAGGCAGCCAGCCTTTTGGAACCCAGTGCAGAGCGAGAGACAGATAGACGCAGCCCAACGGTGTTTCGTGCCCGCCTTCCCCCAGCCCTGCCCCTGACCCCCTGTGACCTCTTCTTTCCTCTTCTCTGACCACATGAGCTGGGTCCAGCAGAACTGGAGACCCTGACCAGGGACCCATGCCCCATCCCACCCGGCTGTGCTGTGGGCCACCTCTGCCCCTGGTCAGGCCTCAGCTGTCACATCTGTTTGGGGCTCGCTCTGGGTGACCTGAGGGCCACATGGCATCAAAGGCGCGAGTGGGTGTCTTTCAGCTCCTCCCCAGAAGGGGCAGGGCCCCCTGACCTGGCCTCTCATTGACCCTCCTGTGTCTGGGCACTCTGGCGGCTGGTATTTCTGAGTGAGGCAAGAGTTGGGAAGATTCTGCTAGCGTCCCTACCCTCCTTCTCTGAGTCCTTCCAGGGGTGGGGGGGTGGGGGGGGGGGG